TTCTTTCCCGCTGTCATCGAACTCCGGTGAATGGAACCCCGTGAGAAAGCTCTGTTTAGGAGCGTCAAGTTTTCTTGATAACTATTGTAATTTTATCAATTCAAATGCTTAAAAAAAAACTTTGCACAGAATCGCGACTCAGCCTTTTGGCTCAGATCAAGGGGAGTATATTAACCAGTGTTTACGGAAACGATTCTCAGCGACAGCGCATGCTCTCGGAATTCAAGGGAAAGAATGTGAAGGGTCCATGTTCCACCGCCTTAGGTAAAGGCTGATCTCCACGGCTATTGGCCGGGGAGTGTCTGTGCCTCACTAACCACCTTCGGATGGCTTCACTCACCGAGTATGAGTATGTAGGGTTAGCATGCAGGGGGTGAACTTCATCCCAGGAGCAGGAAGGGAAGTGATGTGTTCTGAAAAGTTTGCCACCCGAGGAAGATTTCATGTGGCAACACTGTGTGCAGAAAAGAATGGGGGTCTGGAAACCCAGGGAAGGAAGCTGTGCTGCGAAGAGATAGGTTGCCAGGGGCATTAGACACGTGCTCTTGTCTAGCTGATACACCCAGACACACTCTCCCTTTAAGAGGAGCCACAGAACTAAAGTGACCAGACGTCCCGCTTTTGGCGGGACAGTCCCGATTTTTAACAGTTTGTCCCGTGTCCCACAGCGTTTTTAAAAAGTCCCAATTTTTGGAAAGATTCTTACGTAGAACCATGTATTTCTGGCCTCAGAGCCAGGAAAAGCAGTGCCTTGCCTGGGCTGTAGATATTTGTTGATCGCATGGGCCTGGGGATCTTGTAAAGAATTGCATTTTCCTCTTTGCTTTGGCCACTGGGAAGCCCTGTGCATGCAGTGATTCTGCACACTGACTCCACCTCTGGCTCCATCTCAGAGACATACTTCGATTTTGCCTAGAATTCTTTATTCCTGGTACCCTTTTTATTATTTGAATTTTTATAAATAGCATCCAATTGTTTTTTGGAATGAAGCAGAGTATGACACAAGAATTTAGAAGTCTCAGCTTAAAAAAGCAAAAAGGAATCAATCACTGTTTTGGTTTGGGCATGGTTCTCTCTGTGAAATATTTCTTTAAAAACTGGGAAGTTGCCCTAGGTGGTTTAGCTCAGTGGATAGAGCCGTTGGCCTGCACACTAAAGGGTCCCAGGTTCGATTCCCGTCAAGGGCACATGCCCGTGTTGTGGGCTCGATCCTCAGTAGGGGGTATGCAGGAGGCAGCCAATCAATGATTCTCTCTCATCATTGATGTTTCTGTCCTTCTCCCTTCCTCTCTGAAATAAAAAATAAAACAAACAAACAAACAAAACCTGTTAAGTCTATGACACCAAAATCATAAACTATCAAAGAAAAACTAGGTTGGCTGGACTTCATTTAAATTTAAGATGTTCGTGCTTCAAAGGACACTACTAAGAAAAGAGAGCTCACAGAATGGGAAAAATACTCACAAATGATGTATCTCAGTGGTTGGCAAACCACGGTTCAAGAGCCACATGCTTCATAAAAGGCCACTAACTTGGTCTAAACATGCTTCCAAAGAACATGGCATCTATGAAAGAGAAAAATAAAAGAACGAAAGGGCAGTGGAAGTCTTGAGGAAGAAACCACTAAGAAATCGTTAAAAATAATCTATATACATAAAAGCCCAGTGACCAGCATGGTGGAACCACCAGAATGACCAGAACGATGGGTAGTTATGATGCACACTGTGGCAGCCAATCAGCATGATCCAGGCCCTGATCGAACCTCCCACCACTGGCCGTCCCTGGCTCTGATTGGCCTCCAATACCCCAGTCAGGGGCTGGGCTGGCTGGCCAACTGCCCACAGCCCCTCCCCTAGCTGGTCCTGCCCCTGATTGACCCCCAACACTTGATCGAGAGTGGGGCTGGCCAGCCAACTACGTGTGACCCTCCCCCTGGCCAGCCAACCATCCACAGACCCTCCCCTGATCTGGCCCTGCCCCCGATCGGTCCTCCCACCCCCATCAGGGGCGGGCCAGCTGGCTAACCGCCCGCAGCCCCTCCCCGCCACCAGCCTGGCCCAATGGGCCCCATAGGTGTGGGCCAGCCAGATCCCACCCATGCACGAATTCATGCACCAGGCCTCTAGTAATAATAATATGAAGTGAGATGAAAAAATACCAAAGTCTCAAAACATAATAGGGAACTGAAATGCACAAATATGTCACCATATATACTTAGATACTGCATATGAGGCCCCTAGAACCATAAGAAAAATGAAAAAAAAAATTCACTGTTAATAACTCATTCTCAAATTGCCCCCTTTAAAAATCAAATTGCCCTCCATGTTGGGAACCACTGATCTAAATAGACATTTCTCCAAAGAAGACATATGAATGGCTACGAAGAACCAGCAAATATGCTCAGTATCAGTAGTCATCAGGGAGATGCAAATCAAAACCACAAGGAGAGGCCGCTTCGCAGTCACGCGGATGGCTACCACGGAAAAGACAGCCATGAGCGAGAGGCGGGGAGGCTGAGGGGCGGCCCCCAACATCTCCATTTCAGAGGCCAAGCAGGGCACCCCACCCCCAAGCGGACTCTGCTCCGGGCTCTGATGTTCAGGACATTCTCAGGCCCCCCATCCTGGTGGACGCCCGCCCTCCAGTCCCCCCGCCCCCATTTACCTCTCCCCGATTCCTCACAGCCCAGCTCCTCCGGGTGACCCCTTCTAAACATGAGCTTGGGAGCTTCCGTTTGAACTCCCAAGCGAGGAAAGGGGAATTATGGATGTTCCCGACACTAAGCCCCGGGTCTCTCTCAGGACGCCTTTCGTTGCCAAGGAAAATGAAACAGATGTCTTGGCAGTAGTTTCGGCGCTTCCTGCCAGACCAGGGAGAGCTTGTCTCCAGGGCAGAGGCAGCCAAGAAAGACAAGCCCCAGCTCATGTCATTCCCGGGAAACACGCAAACACACACACACACACACACACACACACACATACAAGGGCTGCTTAAACCTGGGAGGCCGCCCTCCCGGCAGCCTCGCGCCAGGATTTCAGCATCAGCTGTGGCAATGGGCTGCCCCCTCGCTTCACTCACCTCAGGCCTTCCATCTGCCCTACCCACCCCGCTCCACCCCGCTCCCCATCATCCAGTGGCTCTGGGACCCCTTGGCCTGGCAGGGAGGCCACCTTCCCTGCTGGGCTTGTCCCCGTCATGCCCCACTGAACCCCAGGTGAGCTCCCCATTCAAGGGCTCGTGGAGGCATCCCCGTGTGTCTGTCATGTGGTCCCCACGCGCAGACGGCATCTCTCTCTCCTCCCTGGCCCTCTCCCCGGGTCCTGAGCATAAAGGCGCGGGGACAGACCTCAGAAACGCGGAGGGTTTGGAAAGCAGCTGGTTTTCAGGAGCCTGAGGGGTCCGGTTCGCGGAGAAGAGCTCTGTGTGAGGCTGCATGGCCAGGAGAAAAGCCAGCCGCCCGTTCTGCAGGCTGATCGGCAGGAGCGCAGAGGACGGAGGGCCATCCAGGAGACACAGGTGCTGCAGGGCCCTGCTCCCGGGCTGGTGGGGCTGCTGACGTGGCATGGAAACCCCTGAGTGGGCAGGTCTCTTCGCCGCCTTCCCTCTGAGCAGGAGGGGAATCCTGCAGGTGCCCACCGGGATGCCCATGGCTGGGAACCTGGCACGTCGAGGAGGGCAATGACCTGAGCCACAGAAACGTGGGCTTGGAGCATGAATCCAGAGACAGCCGCCAGACGAGCCCAGGGACGCAAGCCAACGGGAGGTCACATCCTCCTGGGAGCCCGAGGGCACCTCTCTGCGACCCGCGTCCAAACCCGACACCAGCTGACAGCCGGGAGGACGGCACAGGCCTTCACCTACCGTCTCCCCCCAGGAGGGACGAGGCAGGGGACCCCAGTGCGAATACAGAACTCGGAGAAACATGCAGGCAACCGTTACAGATATCCTGCCACCATAACAGATACTGCAAAGACCAGGTAAGCACTTACAATCTCCGTGGGGAAAGACTTTTAAGTGGCAGAGAGCAGAAGTCACAGGTTCCCACCCTCAGACCCTACGACTGGAACTAAGTGACAAAGGACGACGAGAATAACGGGGACGAAACCTTGGAAACAGAAGCACAAACAGGCCGACACGACTGGCGTGAACAACGGGTGTTCGGCTGTAAACAGGAAGCCAAGGCAGCAGACTCAGGCTTCGTGAGGATGAGGGAGAATGAGGTCACGGCGCGATAACATCGATGGGAGGCGGCCAGAACGGTGCGAGAGGAAATTCTGGAGCCTTTGATGCATTGATTACAATCAACCACAGAGAGAAAAATAAATAAAAACTGATGTCATTCTAAAGGAAAAACAAAACAAACAAACAAACAAAACACCTTAAAAACGAAAATGGAGCCATAACCGGTTTGGCTCAGTGGATAGAGCGTCAGCCTATCCAGGTTTGATTCTGGTCAAGGGCATGTACCTTGGTTGCAGGCACATCACCAGTAGGGGGTGTGGAGGAGGCAGCTGATTGATGTTTCTCTCTCATCGATGTTTCTAACTCTCTATCCCTCTCCCTTCCTCTCCGTAAAATATTAATAATAAATATATATATATATATTTAAACATGAAAAGGAGAAATGGATAGGAAAATTAAAATAGAAATGAATTCATGAGATGGGGGAAAAAGTGAACTAGACCTCCAAAACTGGACCTCTGAAAAGAGGAAGACATTTCTGACAAATATAACCCATAAAAAAATAAAAATAAAAAAAAACTAGACAAAACCCCTGAGAAAGGAAGATGAGACTATAATCACGGCGGTTGATAATTTATAGAATTATAAGAGGATATAGGTAATCACGCACAGGGTTCGAGAAGGGGACGTGGGCATCCTGTGCAAACCTCCGGCACGCAGTCCTATGGAGCAGCTCCTCTCGGTGAGCTCACTGGCGCAGAGACCCCGTGCCCCGTCCCCCATCGTCCCCGGCGCAGAAAAGAGCGCCCGACAAGTGCTGGCAGGAGTCACGATGGGCTTTATTGCAGGACCAGAGCCACAGAGATGCCTGGCGAGCACGGGGGCGCCCAGGAGGCGGGCCGTGGTGGAGGAACGCACAGCTGGTGGCAGGTTCTGTCTATGACCCCCCCCCTGAGGGCCAGCCCTGCACAGGTGCTCTCTGCTCCCCCGTCACATGTCAGACAGGGAGGGGCAGGGCGCTGGTGTGGGGGGCAGAGTTGAGAACTGGGCAGGTGAGAGCCCAGGCAGAACTGGCCCACCCCCGTCCCCCCGTCCCCCTCCTTCAGCAGGGAGGTGGGCAGGCAGGCCGGGCGAGGCGGGGAGGCCAGCAGGGAACGGGCGTGGCACGCCTCGGGCCTGAGGCTGTCCCAGAGCCGCTCAGGGCCAGGAGCCGGGCCCTGGGAGCTGGGTGAGGCAGAGGAGGAGGAGTTCAGCTCCCAGCCCCTGCCCTGCCCTGCCCTGCCCGTGTCCTCTCACTCTGGTGCAGGGGGAGAGCAGGGACGGCCTGTCCAGGATGGACGGACGGGGGGGGGGGGGAGAGAGACGCATGGCAGGGCAGACCCAGTGCTCCCTCCACCCTGGGCCCCGGCGCAGGGCAGGGACAGGGAACTAAGGCTCCAGCGGCAGCCAGCCCCCGGCTCGGGCAGGGGTGCCTCCCTCAGGGTTGTCTGCTGGCCCCGGACAGAAAAGGTCTGGGGTCCAGGTCTCACCCCGCTTCCCAAGCCTCCACGAGCCACGGGACAAGAGTGGCTGCATTCCACAGACCCCCGTGTCTCAGGAGCCTGGGCCTGCGCATGAGGACTCCACCGGGGAAAGGCAAGCTTGGCTCAGGAGAGGTCATTCATTCACGGAGGGTTCCTGGGCGTCACACCAGGCCCCGGCCGTGCCGGCGAAGGGCCGGGGGGGGGGCGGACACTAAGGCACTGGCCCCGCCAAGCTCCACAGGGCCCGGGGATCACAGCTCAGGGCTGCGGGTGGCACCGGCTCGAAGGCCAGAGGCCCCAGGCGGCCAGGGTCTGTCTGGCCGGGTCTCCCTGGGACAGGCAGAGAGGAGACCTGGGCCTGCTGGGCCATCCATACCCCAGGAGGGCTGGCCTGGTCTCTCTACACTGGACCCAGGAAAGCACCCTGCGTGGCACCTAGGAACCCGCCAGGCTCCCCCAGGCACCCGCTCCACACCCCTCTCGTGGGGGACCCTCCCGGAGCCACAGGCCCAGGAGCCACGCTGCCGCCCAGCCCCACCCAGGGTGGCAGCCGCTCCGCCCTGCGCAGAGCCTCGTCCTGCGTGAGCTGCCCTGGGCTCCCGTCCCAGTCCTTGCTGGGGCCAGGCTCCGGGCTAGCCAGTATCCCCACCTGCTCCCCCTCCCCAGGCTGTGGCCGAGACAGCTGGGCTCAGCTCCTCTGGGGACCCTCTCTCCGTACCCCGCAGGGGGCCAGAGACAAAGGCACGAGGTAGGACGGGGGTCCCGTGACTTCGGCTTCCCCGCCCGGCACTAGAGATCCGGGCCCGCGAGGCACAGCCCCCCACCCCTTGCCACAGGGGCCAGCACGGAGCAGGGAGGTCAGAAGAGGCTGGGGGCGGCCTGGCTCGGTGCGTCGTGGTCCCGGATGTACTGCAGGATGTCCATCTCGTCCATGGCGTGGATCGGCGGCGGCGGCGGTGGTGGTGGCCCGGCCGCGGCCTCCGACGGGCCCGCTCTCGGGGGCGCCGCCGGCTTCGCCGCCCCCACGGCCGGTTTGGGCTTGGGTGGGGGCCGGGGCTCGGGCTCGGCCCCCAGGTTCAGGATCTGGTCCAAGTCCTCTTCGAGTCTAGGGAACCAGAGGGACACGCCCTGAGCACAGCCTGCGGGGCGGGAGCCACTGGGGCGGGCAGACCCTCTCCCCCCCCCCCCCCACGACAGTGAGGGCCCCTCGGCCTCCGCGCCTCCTCCAGCTGAGCTTGGTCCGGAGGGAGCTTAGCTCCTGAAGTGAGCCGTCCTGGTCCCTCAGTGGGCCACACAGGCTGGGCAGAGCCCAACCAAGAGCTGGAGCCACCCCGCCAGGGCCCCCTCAAGACACCACCCCAGCCAGGGCCCCCTCAAGACACCACCCCAGCCAGGGCCCCCTCAAAACACCACCCCAGCCAGGGCCCCCTCAAGACACCACCCCAGCCAGGGCCCCCTCAAGACGCCACCCCACCCAGGGCCCCCTCAAGACACCACCCCAGCCAGGGCCCCCTCAAGACGCCACCCCAGCCAGGGCCCCCTCAAGACACCACCCCAGCCAGGGCCCCCTCAAGACGCCACCCCAGCCAGGGCCCCTTCAAGACGCCACCCCAGCCAGGGCCCCCTCAAGACGCCACCCCAGCCAGGGCCCCTTCAAGACGCCACCCCAGCCAGGGCCCCCTCAAAACACCACCCCAGCCAGGGGCCCCTCAAGACGCCACCCCAGCCAGGGCCCCCTCAAGACGCCACCTCGGCCAGGGGCCCCTCAAGACACCACCCCAGCCAGGGCCCCCTCAAGACGCCACCCCAGCCAGGGCCCCCTCAAGACGCCACCCCAGCCAGGGCCCCCTCAAGACGCCACCTCGGCCAGGGGCCCCTCAAGACGCCACCCCAGCCAGGGCACCCTCAAGACGCCACCCCAGCCAGGGCCCCCTCAAGACGCCACCTCGCCAGGGCCCCCTCAAGACACCACCCCAGCCAGGGCCCCCTCAAGACGCCACCTCGGCCCATGGAAGTGGGGGGTAATGGGGGGGGGTACCAGAGGCCACAGCCATGTGACGGGCACACGGGCCCAATCACAGGTACCGCACGGAGGTTAGGAGTCAGGGCCATGCCCGGCCTCGTCCTCTTTGCTGGTGGAGGGGCTCAGTGCCCAGAGACCAGATGCACGATGGGGGACCCACTCAGTGCACCCATCATCCACCCACCCACCCACCCCCCGGGGCTCCAGGCCATCCCGGGAGGCGCCGCTCAGGGACAGGAGGCTCCCAGCAGCCTCGGCTCAGAGGTGCCCACGCCCCCCGGACAGCCCTTCCCCGACAGCCCTGCGGCAGGTGCGGCTCCTGCAGCCTCCGCTGGAGTTGGGGGCCCAGGAGCAGCTCAGGGGGACGGAATTCTGCTCAGACAGGGCCCTGCGCCCCGGGGGGCAGCTGCACAGCCGGGAGTGCGCTGGGCGGAACAGCGCCCCCCGAGCGTGGGAGGAGGGGACACGGGCAGAGGGACCCCTCCCTCACTCCATCTCCTGCAAAGCGGAGATAGCAGCACCGAGCCGGGGCAATGGGGAGGACCGAGGTCAAGTGCAAAGAGCCCAGCACACGGCGGGGCCTGGGGGCTCTCCGTGAGCACAGGGTCTGCCAGACCTGCCTCGCTCCCCCATCAGCCCTCCTGCGGGGACCCCGCTGGGCGCGGCCTCCATCCCAGGAGCTGCAGCTGCCAGGGGCCGGTTTTATTTGTTCCCGGGCCCTTGTATGCCGGTGGCGCTTGCCCTGTGATTAAAACACGGCCATTCTTTGTGTAAACTACCTAAGCCTGAGCATGGAGGGAAAAAGAAAATGACTCAGGCGTAGTGTTACCTTCCTGTAACCCGCCGAGCTGCAGGGCCTGCCTGTCCCCCTCACCGGGTCCCCATCGCTGTCAGAGGCCGGCTGCCACCCGCCGGCACCTGCCTTCCAGGCCAGGACCCCTCCCCCCTCCGAGACCGAGGCTGGTGGACGCGCCACGCTGGGCAGGCCCGTGGCTCTGCGTGGGCCACGCTCAGAGCTGGAGGCACGCAGGGGCCACGCTCAGAGCCAGGAGGCACGCAGGGGCCACGCTCAGAGCGGGAGGCACGCAGGGGCCACGCTCAGAGCAGGAGGCACTCAGGGGCCACGCTCAGAGCTGGAGGCACGCAGGGACGGGTACCTGAACAGCTCCACAGAGGCCTCTCCGCTCGCAGGGGCTGCCGGCAGCAGCAGGGGGTCCCCCAGGGGGACGGCCCCTCCGAGGTCAGGGTCATCAAACAGCGTCAGGGCTGCGGAGAAGAGAGCAGCAGAGCGGTCAGAGGGAGTCCGGCCCGTCCCCGTGCACAGGGGGCGGGGAAGGGGGGCAGAGGGAGGGGTGCCCAGCCAGGGACAAGGCACAGGACCAGAGGAACAGGGCCAGGGTACACGGGCCAGGCACCAGCACACCCGTGTGACAGACAGGCGCCACCTCCCACCCCCAGTCCAAGGGTGGTCCCCCTCAGTTCAAGTCCAGGTGGACTTCCTGGAGGAAAAAGCCATGACTGCACCCCAGTTTCCCAAGTGCTTCCTGAGCACCTACCGTGGGCCGAAGGCTGCTGCCTGAGGGGAGGCAGGGGTGAGCCTGGGGCACCCCTCCTCTCCGCCCTCAGGAAGGGACCAGGGCCTCTCCACGGGGAAGAGCCCTCCTTCCCCAGCAGACCAGGAGAGTGCCGCTGACCGTCCGGGATCCAGCTCGGGCAAAGCCCCCTCCTACAGGAAGCCCTCCCTGATGTTCCACACTCTGGCTCTCCTGTGATCGTCGGGAGACGTCCCGTCTCCCGTGGGAGGCCCCGAGGCTGGAGTGCACCTTGCTCCTCCTCATGTCCTCGGGCCCAGCACAGAGCCTGGCCTTCGGAGGGTGGTCACTAAGTGTTGCTGGATTAGTGGGTGACAGCAATTCCTGGCCCTGGGCGAGGCCCCGGGTGGGGTGAGGAAAGGGCAGGCCCAGGGGCAGGGGTAGAAGTTCTGAGGACGCCCAGCGTCCCTTGTCCTTCTCTGCCCGGCACCCTCCAGCGGGGTCAGCATGGGTGACCACCTCTTGTCACAATCCTCATCCTGGAGTGGCAGAAGGGTCGCCCGGGGCGGTCAGCACCCGCCTTCTACCCGTGCCCACGTCTGGCCACCCCAGTCCCAATCCACACTTCTCAAAGCAACAGAGAAAGGTGCCCTCCCCCCTCCAAGGGGTGAGCAGCGCGCGCACACACACACACACACACACACACACACACTCTCACACACTCACACACACACACACTCTCTCACACACACACACACACACACACACACACTCTCTCACACACACACACACACACACTCACACACACACACTCACACACTCACACACACACTCACACACACACACTCACACACTCACACACACACACACTCACACACACACACTCACACTCTCACACACACACTCACACACACACACACACTCACACACACACACACACTCACACACACACAGTCACACACACACACACTCACACACACACACACTCACACACACACACACACACACACACACACACACTCACACACACACACTCTCACACACACACACACACACACTCACACACACACACACACCCATGCCCATAATATCCGTTCCAGGTTGTGAGAAACCAGGCATGAGACAAGGTTCCCCGGGGAACACCTGAGCTGAGTCTGAGTGTGTCTTGTTCACACGGGGCAGGTCTGGTCTGGTCACCGGGGGCGGGGGGGCGCCCACAGGGACAGGAACACCTGGCTCCACTTACGGTCCCTGGCGGGCGCGTGCTCTGCGGAGCCCCCGGCGGAGCGCGTCCCGCTGGGGCCCGCCTCCTCGTCGAAGAGGGTGAGCCGGGGCGAGGGTCTGGGCTTCGCGGCTGCCTGGGGGCGCGCTTTCGGCTTCTTGGAGCTGGAGAATCACAGATGGGACTCAGGTTAGGACATCTGAGGGCGGCCCCGCGGTCAGCCCAGGTGGGCGCGTCAGAGCCACGCAAGATACTGGGTGGGTTTGAACTTGCATCCTGAAGGACCTTTCCGAGGACCTGACATTGGAGGTGGGAAGACCCCGGTACCAGAAGGGGCCGAGCCCAGGGAAACACTGCCAGGAGGAGAGGGAGGGTGTCTGGGCTATGTGGCCGGTGGCCAGACAACCCGCAGTGGGAGGGGCCACTCAGGCCTCAGGCCTGCAGGGGAGGGCAGTTGTGGGGGACCAGACCTGCAGGGGAGGGCATTTGGGGAGACCAGGCCAGCAGGGGAGGGCAGTTAGTTAGAGGCACTCGGGCCAGCAGGGGAGCAGTTAGGCATCAATCAGGCAGACAGGGGAGTGATTAGGGGGTGATCAGGCTGGTAGGCAGAAGTGGTTAGGGGCAATGGGGCGGGCGGGCCGGCAGGCAGTTGGGCGCCAGCAGTCCTGGACTGTAAGAGGCTGTGGGAGTGGCTGACCCCAGCGCTCCCTGGGGCGAAACTCAGTCACTCCACGCCACTTGGAAACAAAGTCTGAGGCCACAAACCTCAGAGCCCAGCCCCGGGAGAGAAAATGAAGGAGCCGTAGGAAACGTTCCATGTCCCAGACACCTCCGCCCCATCCCTGGAGTGGCACCACCTCAACCTAGGGTGCTGTACTCAGCGTGCCCACCAGAGGGCATCATGGCAAACTCCTCCATTATTGGGTGCCGGTCTCAGACTGTGCAGGAGAGAGCACCACTCACCTCTGTCCCCCTGAGCAACCCATCCCCACCTCCTGCAGAAGCCCTCCTGCTCCTCAGAGCCCCACGAGGCTCCGCTCCGACACCCCTAAGGGGTCCTGCTCTGAGCCGGAAGCTGCTGCGGGAACCAGGAGGGGGTCAGGGGATGCTCTGGCCGGGGGGTGCTCGGTCCTGGCGGGGCGGTGGTTACGTATCCCCGTGCACACTCCTGGGGACTGAGCCCACAGTTCTGCTCACGTCACTGTCGGTTATGCTGCCAGCACACAAATAAGGTTGCGTGTAGTTTGATATGACCTAATCCCTCCCCCTTGTGCCTACATGAGCCGTGAGAAGGTTCCTGAGAACGAGACTAAGCTTCTTACTGGAAACGGGATTTCTGGTTCCACTGCCTGCCTGGCGGACAGCTCCCAGGACAGAGGGCACCGCCCCAGCTCCTGCTGGCAGGCTGGTTCTGCCCCCAGACGATGGGAAGATGAACCAGCGGCCGTTAACAGTAGCGGAGGGGCCCTAGCCGGTCTGGCTCCGTGGAGAGAGCTTCGGCCTGCGGACTGAAGGGTCCCAGGTTCGATTCCAGCCAAGGGTACGTGCCCGGGTTGTGGGCTAGATTCCCCAATAGGGGGCGGCCTGTAGGAGGCAGACGATCGACGATTCTCTCTCATCATGGATGTTTCTGTCTCTCTTTCCCTCTCCCTTCCTCTCTGAAACCGATAAAGAAATACATCGGGAGCACTTGTTGGAGGGTCCCACTCCCTGTCAGGCTCCCTGGGCAGATGAAGAGATGAAGGAACGAGGGTTTGGAGAGGCGAGGGCTCCGCTCACGGCCGCACAGCAGGCAGGGGCCTGGGCGAGAACCGGAGGCTGTCACGGTCCCGCTTCTGCCCCTCAAAGTGTCCCCGGAGCAGGAATGAGATGCAGGACAGGGTAGGACACAGGCTGGATCCCGCAGTTGGGGACACAGGGCCCGCTGTGAAGGTAGAGAGGGAGCAGAGACGGGCGGGGGCTGTGCCAGGAAGCCCAGGCACCCCTTCCTCGTTCTCTCTGTTCTGGGCACAAGCCAGATGGGCTCACGTCACTGGCCACCAGGGCCACGTCTCGGCCATGGCGCCAGGCCTGGGCCCTGCCTGGCTCCTGGGAGAGCGGAGAGCCGCCCAGGCCCCATCCTCACGGCAAGGCCTTTCCCGGGCCCTCAGCGCCTGCCGGCACACACACACACACCTGGGCGAGTCAGAAGCCCACGGACCCGCCTGCAAAACCGAGCCTGTGAGCTGAAAAAGCAAAGGATGGAATGGCAGTGGGACACATCCCATTTCGGCAATAAAACGGGAAAACACCCCGAAGCATACACCTTCCCGGCGAAGGGGCTTCTAACTGTGGGTCCCATTTTGCATGCTAACCGCATCTTCTGCAAGTTACAACAACACAGGCTTCCAGCGCGGCGGTTCGGGCAGAACCCCATCCTCCTCAGACCCGCGACGTCTCCAGAACAGAAAGCTGAACACCAAAGCCATGCATGACATGGAGCGCGACCCTGAGAGGCCACTAACGTGGGGAGAAACCGCCTAGGAAGGCACACGTGGCTGCGTGGGGCGCGCTGGGCCGGGATGCCCCCTGACTCCCCAGACGGGGGCGCAGAGTGCCGGGAAGGGCCGGGGGAGGGCTCTTTCTAACAGTGGCGAACTCATCTCTTCCCTGATCAAAACCAGGTCTCACAGACAAAGAAAAGCCAGGCCCCTGGCTGGTCCCAGCTCCTGGCTTTGTGCAGGCGGCTCCCGGCCTTCCAGCAGCGGGGCAACAGCGCCCTCGCGTGGCCGCGGCGGAGAACACAGAGGCGGGAGCGGATCTGCATGCATGTGGGCGAGGGGCTGCAGGGGCAGAGGAACTGAGGGCACCGGATGGAGAAATACTCATGCAAAGCGTAAGGCATCTGTAAAGAACAGTAAGTGCCCCCACCCCCACCCACAAAGGACAGGGTAGCTGCACTGTGCAAGCAGGTCCTCAGGCCGCCTGGGTGTCCCAGGAGCAGCCAGCGGACACCGGACATCGAGGTGCGGCTGCCACACACAAGACCTCGGCCAGGTCCCCACTCAACGCTGTCCTCCATGCCCCGCTCAGTGCAAAGGGGGTGATCCGAGGGCCTGGCCCGGCTCTCGGGGCGCTGGGAGTGGCCTCGAGGGGCATGCAGGGAGGTGGCACGGAGCCCCAACTCCGCCGTTTGTGGCTGAACCTGGCCGCCCAGCTTCGGCCTCCTCAGACGCTGGCATCGGCCTCCGTTCCCCAAACCGGACCCGCCGCGGGCCTGAAAGCCACTGGTGCATCTTTTAAAAAAATTTTTAAAAAAGGAATAGGATAGGAAACACTTATTCCCGCCGATTCTGATCAGTCCCCAGCATTTCCTAATCTCTCAAAAGACCAAACAAACAAAACAAAAACCTGAGGTGGCGACAGCACCGACTGTTGTCACGTTAAACGAAAAGCCGGCAGAAGGCCGGGGGCCGTGGGGACCCCTTTGGGTGCCAAGCTTTCCTCGGTCTCAGCAGCGAGGCCCCGGCGCGCAGAGCGAGGGATGGGGCTGGGGCGCAGGTGGTCCCGGGAAGGCGGACGCATCGCCCGGCAACCTGCTACTCACGCAAAGAGGAAACGCAGGCGGCCACGCCAGTCCCGGACAGCCTCTTCCTTCCCCAAAAAGGAGCCGCTCTGCGGGCATGCCCTTAGGCTGGCACAGACCCTGCGTCTCTCTCAGCTTGGCACGGTGTGTGGGACTCAGAGCAGCGGGGCACGCGGGTGCAAGCACAGCCGCAGTCCCACTTCACTGAAAAAAAGCCCCAGAAGGCTGTGCAGCCACCCTGTCCTTTGGGGGGGGGGGGCCCTTGCTGCTCTTTACAGATTCCTTACGCTTTGCATGAGTATTTCTCCAGCCTGTGCCCTCACGTGGTGGGTCACGTGAGGCTGATAGGAAGGTTATGAGGAAATTTCTCCTGACGTAACCCGGCCACCCTCACGGCTGCTCTCCGCCACTGCATGTGTGCGCGTACCTGCTCATGCGTGCTTGCGTGTACATGTGTGTGCACGTATGCATAAAGGGGACACGGTCCACTGGCCAGGGACCCTGGCGCACTGTACCCCCTTGAATCACACACACACACGACTGGCACCTCGTGGGTCACCAATGCCCACATCATTGGTGGCCAGGGATGGGCTGGCCAGAGAAGCCAGGCCTCTGGGATGGTGGGTGGGGTCGGGCAGCCTGGGCTTCAGAGCTGCTAGGGGGTTGGGGGCAGCTGTGCCAGGCCTCCGTGCCGAGCCAAGGAGGGGCAGGGATACCCGAGTCCAGCCCCCGAGACACCGGTGATGAGGTGAGCAGCCGGCCAGCTCCCCAGCGCACCAGGCCGTAGGGGTGACAGCCCAGGGAGACGGGGGGAGGAGGAGCCGTCCCCAGAGAGCCTGGACCCAGCCAGAAGGGTGCACCCCCCCCCCCCCCCCAGATCGGGGAGACCTACCGCATGATGCCTAAGGGGTCCAGTGCCTCCTCCTCCTCTTCCGAGGACTTCCCCGTGTCCTCCTCCCGGCCAGGGCTGGGCGGCCCCTCGGCGCCTTCCTGCTGCTGGAAGAAGTCGGGAGTCTCCCCCTCGTCCGCGGCCGGGCCGCCTGTGCCCCGGGCAGAGACACCTCTGCCGCCGGGCTCGGCCGCCCCCGCGGAGCTGGTGCCTGTGGGGGAGCAGGAGGAGGCGTCTGACCCCCACTGCCGGGACCAGGGCCTCGCCACACCCGAGGGGCAGGGCCTGAGGGGGGGTGGGGGGCGGGGGGGCCGCAGGGACCGGGCAGGGCCTGAGGGTGGGTGGAGGGTGGGTGGGGGACAGGGGCCCCGCAGGGACCGGGCAGGACCTGAGGGGGGTGGGGGACAGGGGGCCCCGCAGGGACCGGGCAGGGCCTGAGGGGGGATGGGGGGACAGGGGCCCCGCAGGGACCAGGCAGGGCCTGAGGGGGGGTGGAGGGTGGGTGGGGGGCGGGGGGGCCCGCAGGGACCGGGCAGGGCCTGAGGGGGGTGGGGGACAGGGGCCCCGCAGGGACCGGGCAGGGCCTGAGGGGGGGTGGGGGACAGGGGCCCCGCAGGGACCGGGCAGGGCCTGAGGGGGATGGGGGACAGGGGTCCTGCAGGGACCGGGCAGGGCCTGAGGGGGATGGGGGACAGGGGTCCTGCAGGGACCGGGCAGGACCTGAGGGTGGGTGGGGGGCGGGGGGCCGCAGGGACAGGGCAGGGCCTGAGGGGGGTGGGGGACAGGGGTCCTGCAGGGACCGGGCAGGCCTCGGCCACCTAAGAACTCCAGCAGCTCGGGGCTGCCGGCCAGCTCGGTGTCCTGGGAGACGCAGCGCAGGATCTCGTGGAAGACGGCCCTCCGCTCCCGGATGTCCGACTCCCCGACGAACAGGACCTTCCTGGGGAGCGGGGGCAGGCTGGCCGCCGGGTAGCGGCGGCTCAGCTTCTGGCACAGCTCCTCGATCTCGCTGTACTTTTTGGAGACCTGGAGCGGGAGAGGCAGGTGGGCTCCCGGATGCAGCGGGAGAGAGGGCTCCTGCCCGACCCAGCCAGAGGCCCCCAGAGGGCGCGGGCTGCTGTCCCAGGGAGAGCGCCCTGGCTGTGCCTCCTTCCTGACGGCACCCCTCTCTCACCCCCTTCTCCTGCCCCCTCCACCCCGCAGCTGCTGGGCTCCGGCTCCAGGCCTTATCCCTCCTCATCACTCCAGGCTCAGCCACGGGCAGTCATGGCGGACTGGGCACTGACTGTCACGGGCCCGGGCGGGGACGGTGGGTAGAGGGAGCCCAGCCTGCAGGGGCGCATGGCCACCGCTTCCCTCTAACCCCGTGGTCGGCAAGCTGCGGCTCGCGAGCCACGTGCGGCTCTTTGGCCCCTGGAGTGCGGCTCTTCCACAAAACACCACGGCCTCGGCGAGTCTTTGTTGAAAAAGTGGCGTTAGAAGAAGTTTACATTTAAAAAAAAAACTTGGCTCTCCAAAGAAATGTCCGTCGTTGTCCTGTTGATAGTTGGCTCTGTGGACGAAGGAGTTTTGCCGACCTCTGGCCTAGAGGCCGTCAGTCAGTGCCTGCGTGAGATGATCTCAGGTCTGGCTGGCCGACAGGTCACCTTCAAGCGACACCACGGGTCCCTGCTCCCAGCACGGCTCTCTGACCGCTCTCCTGGGCGCCAGCTGCGGCCCTCCAGGGGCGAAGAGCCAGGGGCTGCCATGTCAGTGTCTCTGCCATCAGCCCGGACCCCTCTGCACCCCGGGACCTCGAGGGAGCAGCCAGGGCTCCTGCCGGCCCTCGGACGGCGTCCTGCCCGCTGGAGTCACCCTGGGGCAGCGCCCCGCCTCCCGCAGAGCCAGGGTCCGAGGGACGGCGGCCTCCTCTCAGCCTCTCTCCCCAATCCCTCCCGCAGCTGGATCTCGCTCCGGCTGCCCGTTTCCTCCCGGGGTGCCCCCGCCCCCAAAGGCTCTGGTCTCCGGAGGGGGAGCTGCCATAGGCCCACCGACAGTGCCATCATCGCAGTCTGTAGGGCCCCCAACATGGCCCTCAAAGGAGAGGTGCCTGCTCTGCGCCTGCCCAACCCCACCCTCGGCCTCCTCGACGCCTCTGTGCGTTCCCATCGCCGGGCCTGCGTCCCCGCCTTCTCCATGGGAGCCCAGAGCAAGACGACGCGCACATTCCCACTGCCACCCCAGGCCAAAGCGCCCTCCGGAGCCCCTGCCGAGCCCCGAGCAAGACGACACGCACATTCTCACTGCCACCCCAGGCCAGAGCGCCCTCTGGAGCCCCTGGAGCCCCGAGCAAGACGACGCGCACATTCTCACTGCCACCCCAGGCCAGAGCGCCCTCCGGAGCCCCTGGAGCCCCGAGCAAGACGACGCACACATTCCCACTGCCACCCCAGGCCAGAGCGCCCTCCGGAGCCCCCGCCGAGCCCCGAGCAAGACGACACGCACATTCCCACTGCCACCCCAGGCCAGAGCGCCCTCCGGAGCCCCTGGAGCCCCGAGCAAGACGATGCGCACATTCTCACTGCCACCCCAGGCCAGAGGACGCGCACATTCCCACTGCCACCCCAGGCCAGAGCGCCCTCCGGAGCCCCCGCCCAGCCCCAGCTTACCAGGAACTGGACCACGTCCTCAGGCTTGTGCTTGGGCGACTTGAAGGCGGCCAGCCGGGTGACCACCAGGATCTGGTACTCCACGTGGCCGGACATCATCCTGCCCCGCACCTCCTGGTGCTGCGGCACGGCCAGGTCCAGGCCGGTGTGGGCATTCTGCACGCGCCTGCGGGGGAAGGGAGGGGAGGAGGGAGAGGAGGAAGGCAGGGGAAGCTCAGTTCCAGCCCGCAGGCTCCTGGGTGAGGCAGGGTCTGGCGAGAGGCAGCGGGCCTGGGGGCGGGCTGCTGCCCTGGCCTGGCTCAGCCGTCACAGCGCCAGGCCCCCGGCCCTGCCACACGCCAGGCCCTCCGAGAGCCCGGCTTCCCAGGCCGGAGCCCCCGGCGTGGGGTCGTTCAGGGACAAAGGCTGTTGCCAGCAGGAAGACAGGTGAGAGCAGATGTGGGCTCTCAGTGCCTGCGTGAGATGAATCACGGACAGCCAAAACCGGTTGGCTCCGTGGATAGAGCCTCGTCCTGGGGACTGAAGGGTCCCGGGTTCGATTCCGGTTAAGGGCGTGTACCTTGGTTGTGGGCACATCCCCAGCAGGGGGTGTTTAAGAGGCAGCTGATCGATGATTTTTAAAAATATATATTTTATTGATTTTTTACAGAGAGGAAGGGAGAGAGAGAGCTAGAAACATCAATGAGAGAGAAACATCGACCAGCTGCCTCTTGCACACCCCTCACCGGGGATGTACTTGCAACCAAGGTACATGCCCTTGACCGGAATCGAACCTGGGACCTTTCAGTCCGCAGACCGACGCTCTACCACTGAGCCAAACCGGTTTCGGCTGATCGATGATTTTCTCTCATTGATGTTTCTAACTCTCTATCCCTCTCTCTTCCTCTCTGTAAAAAAATCAATAAAACATATATATATATATATTAATATATTTTTTATTGATTTTTTACAGAGAGGAAGGGAAAGAAATAGAGAGCTAGAAACGTCAATGAGAGAGAAACATCGACCAGCTGCCTCTTGCACACCCCCTACTGGGGATGTGCCGGCAACCAATGTACATGCCCTTGACCGGAATCGAACCTGGGACCTTTCAGTCCGCAGACCGACGCTCTACCACTGAGCCAAACCGGTTTCGGCAATAAAATATATTTTTAAAAAAAGAAAAAGAAAAGAAAATCACGGACAGCTGAGCGTCCTCCACAAGCACAGAGCAGGCCTCGGTCAAGTCCTGCTGGATGGAGGAAGGTGTGAGTGCCCTGGGGGTGGTGGGGGGAGGCGGGCCTTCCTTGGCACATCCCCTGCGGGTGGCCCCTGGCGTTTGCTGGTGCCTGGGGCACCGAGGACCCCACCTTCTCCTCCAGCCCCTGGTCCTCGCAGGTGGGGCCCTGTGCACCCAGCGTCAAAGCCACGCCCCCACGGGTCTGCGAGGGGCCGAGGGTGCCTGCTGCTGGCCCTGCGCCCGCCTGCCAACCTCACACCCTGTTCTTACAGAAAGGGAAACTGAGGCTCAGCGCGGAGGTTAACTTAGGCCGCACCAGGGGGATCCCTCTGGCTAGTGAAGCGGCGGCCTGCGCCCTCGCTGTAGTTTGCAGAGGAGACCAGAGCAGCCTCTCCCATCCGCACTTCCTTACAGGATCCTCTTTTCCAGGCCCGGGTCCCGGGGAAGGCGGCTCCAGCTGGGACCATAGCCCTCGTGTATGTCATAAAGCTGGCGTTTGTGCCCAGGATCTCATGGCGGGGGCACAGGGGTGGAGGGCGCGGAGACCCGGGGAGAGAGTCTCTTTACAGAGGGTGAAGGCAGGAAGGAGCAGAGAGCAAAGGGGGCCCTTGTCCGTCCTGCCCTGGGACCGCCAGGCCTGGACCAGGGCGGGTTTGGGGGTGTTAGGGGGGGTCGCCCCTGTAACTTGCACTTCTCCCTGGGCAGTGCCCCTTCTTCTCTCCCTTCCCCGGGTAAGGACCCCCTTCCTGCAGGGCGCGGCTCATTCACCCCTCCCAGAAGCCTGGGCACACCCCTGCCCCGCGTTCCCAGGGCACCCCGGACTGCCTACCCCTCCCAGCGCCCGTCCCCGCGGTTCTGCGTCCCGGTGCCCAGTGCGGAGCAGCTGAGCCCCGAGGGGGTGCGGGGCTAGATTTCTGTGCAAAACCGAAATGCACGGGAGGGGAGGGGCGTGAGCCTTGCTCCCCCCACTGGGTCTGGGGTGAGCGCGTTACGCTCCGGGGCCTCAGTTTCTCCGAAGTAAAGCGGGGACCCTAGCCGCCGCCCCCTCTCCCGCCGGCGGCGGAGGGCCGAGCCCAGAGCGGTGGCGGGGGCTGCAGAGGCCGGCGGCGGGCACCCGGGGCCGCGTCTCCGCCGGGCGCCGGGCCGGGCTGGCGCGGACCCAGCGGACTCCACGGGGAGCGGGCGGTGCGGGCGCGGGGTCCGCTCACCTGGAGGTGACGAGCGCCGGGGGGCGCTGCATGCCGGCGGCGGCGGGCGGCGGGCGGCGGGCGCTGTCACGGGACCTGCGGGCGCCGGCGTCGCCGCGGCCCCGCCCCGCGCGCACTGCTCCTGCCCTCGCCCGCCCCCTGGCGGCCACTGCGCCGGGCCACAGGCGACGCTCAGAGATGGAACTTCTCTCCTCTCTCTCTCTCTCTCTCTCTCTCTCTCTCTCTCTCTCTCTCTCTCTCTCTCTCTCTCCTCTCTCTCTCTCTCTCTCTCTCTCTCTCTCCCTCCCTCCCTCCCTCCCTCCCTCCCTCCCTCCCTCCCTCCCTCCTTTCTTTCTTTCTTTCTTTCTTTTTTTAAAAATATATTTTATTAGTTTTTTACAGAGAGGAAGAGAGAGGGATAGAGAGTCAGAAACATCGATGAGAGAGAATCATCGATCAGCTGCCTCGTGCACACCTCCGACTGGGGATGTGCCCGCAACCAAGGTACATGCCCTTGACCGGAATCGAACCTGGGACCCTTCAGTCCACAGGCTGACGCTCTATCCACTGAGCCAAACCGGTTTTGGCTGTTGGAACTTTCTGATAACCCTGCCCTGCACCCCCCATGAATATGTAAACAAATGGGACAACAAATCAATCTCTCTCTCTCACATCAAACAATTTAAAAAAGTTATCTTTAGCTCGTCAGATATTGGGACCTTGCAGTCCTGAGTCAGATCCAGGCTACTGTCTCTGCTCCCTGGGGGTTGCTGATTATCCGGGGGAAAGCCTACCTCCCTGAAGGGGGTATGTAGAGAGAGCTGTGATTTCTAGAGCTAGGGTGTCAAGTTAAATTTAATCAAAGCCACAGGACCCTTAGTTTGCTGGTGTCACTCCCAGGAGGCCCCAGAATGTCCTGGTTCAAAGAGAAAGTGTCTGGTCTCCCTGCCTTGGGGAGAGTGTCGGGGAACACTGCCACCATGCTCATGTCCCAAGAGATGCTCAGAGGGATGCTGGGAGGGTCAAATGGGGGACATATAACCCAGCAAACAAGATAAACTGGACCCCTGTGGGGGGGGGGGAAGAAAAGGGGGTATCAGCTGAAGAAACAGCAGCCTGTCTCCAGAGGCCTCCCCTCCCAGTGGCTCTCCTGGAAGAGGCTAACAGGGAGTTCTTAACACAAACTGAAGAGAAGCCCTGACTGGTTAGGCTCAGTGGACAGCTGCGGACTGAAGGGCCCCAGGCTCAGTTCTGGTGAAGGGCATGTACCTTGGTTGTGGGCACATCCCCAGTACAGGGTGTGCAGGAGGCAGCTGATCGATGTTTCTAGCTCTCTATCCCTCTCCGTTTCTCTCTGTAAAAAAAAAAAAAAAAAAAAAAAAAAAAAAATCAATAAAAAATATATTTTAAAAAATCTGTCTTCTGCTAAAACAAACAAACAAACAAACAAACAAACAAACAAGCAAACATAAAACTTATTCTGCCACGTGTTAAAAATGTGAGGAAGACCTTATTCAAGACTAGGAGAGAGCTGAGGCTCACTCTGCACACCGCAGGGGCACATGGGGACTTACAGCCGCGGAGCAGGTGAGGACAGGGCTGGGAAGTTCCTGGAGGAGACAGGGCGGGCGGGTGTGTGTGTGTGTGTGTGTGTGTGTGGCTGAAGGAGCCTAGCAGGACTCCCGCTGAAGGCAGGCCAAGCACTCAGTCAAAGCTGGGGGAGAGGAGCCTGGTCAGAGCGCCAGGCTGGTCAGACAGCCAGGCTGGGGGATTCTCTAAGCTGACTCAGCAGCATTCCTGCAGAGTGGCCCAGGCAGGACAAAGTGTGTGTGTGACGGGTGAGGGGGGGGAGGGAGTGTGGAGAGGTCAAGGTCCAGGAGAGTGCTCAGAGGAGTCTAAACTTTGCCAAGGGGCCTATCACCCAGAGCTTCCCTCTCCCTCAGCCTCTCACCATCTCGCCCTCTCTGTGTGCAGTCCCCTCTCTCCGGTACCCTCCTGCTCTGGTCCTGCCTTCCTAAGGACACCCCCTCCCTGAGCGGCTCCCCACACTCCGGCAAGAGCAGGGAGAGCTTCTGCTTGACTGTATTCCCCCAGAGAACCAGCCTCCCCCCTCCCCCCCCACCGGCCTGGAACTCAGATCCACAAACCTCCCGCTTCTTTGCAACCACCTCTAAAGTACTCTGCCCGGGGCCTGGCACAAAGTGACACTAAGTCGGTGTGTTTGCCCCCACTGGGGATGGAGCCCACAACCCGGGCATGTGCCCTTGATTGGAATCAAACCTGGGACCCTGTAGTCCACAGGCCGACGCTCTATCCACTGAGCAACACCGGCTAGGGCTCTCTCCTGGCTCGTTCATGCATTCACACATTCAATCATACCTGCAGAGCTGGGCCTCTGCGCCAGGCCTCGTGAAGGCTCTGGGGCGTCTCAGGGAGAGGACTCTCCCGCCCTGGCTCTCAGTGTGCCCGTGGACCTGCCCCTTCTGCCAGGCTCTGCCTCCCTCCCTCTGTCTGCGCACTCTCTGTGCCGGGCATGCCTCTGATGGCTGCCTGTGGGGCTGCCCCTGGAACAGGGTTTAGAGGTGCAGGCACGTATAACAGATCCTCTCATATGGACTCACATATAGACTCCCCTCACCGCGGATGAGGAGCAGAGACCCTGACACCGGGCCGCAGTGGCTCAGGGACAGAAAAGCTGAGGCTGGAAGCAGGGCCACGGGAAGCACCAGACCCCCGGCCCTCCCCATTCAGATGCAGAGCAGAAGCTGGGGCGTAGTGGTAGCACACGTTACTGGTGACCAGCAGGTGGCAGTGTCTGCCAGCCCTCCGCCTGTGTCCCAAGCACAGGGCTCAGAGAGGGCCCCTGTGGATCCTCTGGGAAAGAACCCACCCTGCTCCCCTCTCCTCCCCTCCCCCATGCAAAGGCCCAGAGCCCAAGGGCAGGTCAAGCCAGTGGCCGGGAACCTGGCTGCAGCCCACTGGCTGTGGATGCCAGAGCGGTTGCCGGGAGTAACCTGGAGCAGGGCCGCCCTGGGAAATTCCTCAGAGGCCAGGGAAACCCAGCCTGAGCATCAGACAGGAAGTCCAGCCGAAGCGCTGTGGGAATCCTTCCGCACCTGTGGCCCAGGCAGCCCATCTAGGCCTCTCTGGGGGAGGCATTTGGGGATCAGTACCGCCAGGTGCAGTGAGGGCCAGCAGGAGGCTGCCTCTGCAGGTAACACCACCTCCTTCCCTCCCCACTACCCTCCAGCCTAACCCTCTCTCCTGCTCTGAGTCACCAAGGCCAGGGGCCATGGTGGGTCCAGGCTGGGTGCCTGGCAGCGGCCCCATGCCCTCCACCTCTCACAGGTGAGCCCTCAGTGGGCATTTGATTGTCAGCCTCACTGTGCATTTGAGGATCTAACGCTAGGAAGGGCTGAGGGACTTGCAGCCTGAGGTTAGAGGCAGGATTTGAATTCTGGACTCTTTAATAAATATATATATATATATATATATATATATATATATATGCAGAGAGAAAGGGAGAGGGAGACAGAGATGGAAAGAAACATCAATGATGAGAGAGAATCATTGATTGGCTGCCTCCTGCACCCCCTACACTGGGGATCGTGGCTGCAACCCAGCCCTGACTGGAAACTGAACCGAGACTTCCTGGTTCATAGGTCAACGCTCAACCAGTGAGCCACACTGACTGGGCGAATTCTGGTCTCTTGACTCTCAGGAGCATCAACTAGTAGCCAGGGAGCACCTGTTCTATCTCCCGAAATAGTGCTTTTTTGCAGGGACTCCCCCCCCCCCCAAAAAAAAAAGTGGACAAGGCAGAGGCTGAGGCCTCATTACACCTTATCTACGCGGCGCCTGGGGCAGAGCTGGCTGAGACCTGTGCGGCCTGAAGGGCAAAGGAAGAGGCGCGCAGCCGGGACCGCCATCCCAGGGGGCTGTGATGCCCACCATGGGGACGGGGCTTCCTGAGAACCATGCAGGCCTCTCTCAGGGACGTCCTTGGGCTCCTGCCATCAGACATGAGGAACTGGGGTTGGGAGGAGGCTGGAAGCTGAGTGGACTGTCCCTGCAGCTGACCCACGTTCTGGCGCCTGAAGGTCACCACAAGGCGACCAGCCGGCAGAATCCAAGACAAACTTCCTCAGTGGCAGGAACTCATGTTCCAGACGGGGGTTCCCAGGTGCCACGTGAAGTCCCCCTGCGGGGTCGCCTTGGAGACGTTATGGCTCGCGTGCGTTTGGTAAGACGAGATATGGTCATGTTCAGAGCTATCGGAAGGCTGTCTGGGGCGGGGAGCGCCCTGGCCCCACAAACGCAGTTTGTTAGGGGTCGCAGTTTGTTAGGATTCAGGCACGGCATGGAGGTTGGCCTAGGCCAGCGCTCGGCAAACTCCTTAGTCCACAGAGCCAACTATCAACAGGACAACGATGGACATCTCTTTGGAGAGCCACATTTTTTAAACGTAAACTTCTTCTAACGCCACTTCTTCAACATAGACTTGCCCAGGCCGTGGTATTTTGTGGGAAGAGCCACACTCAAGGGGCAAAAGAGCCTCATGTGGCTCGCGAGCCGCAGTTTGCCAACCACGGGGCTTAGACAACCCCCAAGTTTCTTCCAGATCCTGGACTTCTGTGTCCTGAATCAGAGGCCAAGTCCTTGGAGAAAGCGAACAGCTTCTGCAGGGGAGAGATGAGCAGCAAAAGTGTTCTCCGAGGTAAGGATCTGGGGTGAGAATGTGGGGCCAGCCCTCCCCACCTCAGTCAAGAACCACCCCCCACCCCCCAGCCCACTCCCTCTGGCTTTCCCCCTCTCCTCTGGTTGGAGCCAAACTCACCTCCTCTCTCAGACAGCAGGAGTCTGGGATTCTGGAGGTTGGGGTAGGATGAAGTTAGAACTCGGGTGCCAGCTTGCTCCCAGCCTTCTGGAAACTTCTTGCACCTGTTTCTTGGCTCCTCAACAGCTGCCCAGTGACTGCCGGGGTTAACACAGAGGCCAGAGGGATTTCCCTTCAAAGTGCACTTAGCAGCACGCAGAGCACACATCCAGGCCTCCCTCCTGCCTGGCCCCCCACCCAAGGCCCCTGCCGTCCCCAAGAGGAAGCCCCCCCCCCCCCGAACCACTGAGCCACACTGACTGGGCGAATTCTGGTCTCTTGACTCTCAGGAGCATCAACCAGTAGCCAGGGGGCACCTGTTCTATCTTTGGAAATAGTGCTTTCTGGCAGGGACCCCCCCAAAAATGAGCCTGATCAGTGGCTGGTGAGTATACCAGCGACACCTGTGGCCATGCCTGGTTGCCTGCTCCCTGGGCAGCCTTGGCCATCTCAGTGCCACACCACCTGGCTGCCCAGACCTTCCCAACCCAATCTCACCCCGCCTTTCTTCTCCGCCCTTCTGATGGGCCCGGGGTCTGCGAGGAGGGACCCCTGACCAGGCCTCTCCTGCCCCTCCTGCGCCCCCCGTTCCCCAGTGGCCTTGTCTCCTCGGTGGCCTGGACCCGCCTGGAGTTCGCTTGGGAGGGAGCAGCTGATGCAAGGGACCGGGGTCAGAGTGCACCGCACCTGCACCTCCCGGGGCTTTGGGTCCTGAGACGTCACGTGGACTCTGATCACCCACTCCAGGTGACGTGATGGATCTCCAGTTCGGCAGCAAATGCAGTTTTCAAGGAAAAGCACGCACCTGCCCTGCTCCGGGTGTCCTCGGGCTCTGCCCTAACCACAGCTCTTCATTCCGCTGGGGGCTCCCTCTCGCACTCAGGGGAGTTCCGGCTGCGGGTGGACCTGAGCCCCACCCGCCTACACCACCCTCCCCTGCCCCTCAGACTTGGCTCAGGAACCTCCCCTGCTGCTGGCGAGAGCGCGTTCCGGGGAGCCACCGCCGCCGGGCGCCGCCTCCAGCAACCCGGGCTCCCAGCGAGCGACCACCGCTGCGGGGAGGGGGGCGGGGGTGGGAGAAATGCCGAGGCACCCTCCCCCCTGGGGGGTCTTAGCCGCCCACCCGGCTCCTGGCTGCACCCCAATAAGCCCGGTGGCCCGTTTCCGTTAGCCAGACCCCTAGAGGCCCGGCAGAAGGGCATCACCGCCCACGCGGAGAACTTGGGGCGCACAGAGAACTTGGGGACCCACTCCGGCGCGGGAGTCTCCGCGTCACCCCGTCACCCCGGCGGGCGCTGCCTCCGTCTTCCCCGCGCGCTTTGGAGATCTGAGCTCCGGCTTAAGCGCCTGTTCCGCGCGCAAACCTTGGCTCTCCGAGCGTCCGTCCTCATCCTTCTGTCTTCCCAGCCCGTCCAGCTGCTCGCTCTCCTACTCACGGGCCCCTTCCCTGCGCCGGCCGCCGGCTCCGACCCTCGGGAGCCCTGGCAGGCGCAGGAGCAGCCGTTCTGATGGTCAAAAACGCGCCTTGGGGGTCGTCCTGTGCGCCCGGGCCGCGGGCTCTCCGCACCGACGGGCGGGCAGGGCCGATCCCCCCGTTTCCCCCTCCGGCGGAGAGGGCGCTTCTCCTCCGCGGGGGTGGGAGGCCGCCGGGTGGGTGGCGGGAGCGCGAGGTCCCCCGGAGCCCCGAACCCCGGAGGGCGGGCGCGCCTGGCTCGGGTGCGGCGCGGGCGGAGGGGAGCGGCGTCCCGGGGCCGCCGGGCCGGGAGGCGGGGCCTGGGTCGGTGCGGGAGCCCGTGGCCGGCATTCCCGGCGGGCAGGTCCGGAATGGGGGCGCCGCGCCCCGGGGCGGGGTGGGCGGGGACGCGGCGGGAGGCTCCAGCCCGGACTCCGCGTCCGGCGGGAGGGATCGGGGCGCGGCGCTGCGGCCGGAGCGTTCGGCAGGGGGCGCTGCTCCGGGCGCGGGCGGGCGGGCGGGCGGGCGGGGTGGGGTGGAGGGAGGGGGCGCTGGGGCGCGCACGCTTCCCCATTATTAAACACTATGTGCACAGGGCGCCGGGGGACTGCCCGCAGCACGGAGCCCGCGCCGCCCGCCCGGCCGCCCGGCGCACGGAGCCCATGGACCTGGGCGCGGCCGCCGCGCTGTGCCTCTGGCTGCTGAGCGCCTGCCGCCCCCGCCACGGGCTGGAGGCCGCCGCGGTGCTGCGGGCGGCGGGGGCCGGGCCGGCCGAGGGCCCGGGGGGCGGCGGGCGCACCCCCAGCGCCGCCGCCGCCCCGGCCGCCGCCCCGGCTCCCCCCGGGCCCCGCGCCCCGCGCCGCGCCCCCGGCTCCGGCTCCGGCTTCAGGAACGGCTCGGTGGTGCCGCACCAGTTCATGCTGTCGCTGTACCGGAGCCTGGCCGGGAGGGCTCCGGCCGGGGCCGCCGCCGCCAGCGCCGCCTCCTCCCCGGGCTCCGGCCGCCACGGCCGCGCGGACACCATCACCGGCTTCGCGGACCAGGCGACCCAAGGTACTCGCGCCTCCGCCGCGCCCGTCCGCCCCGTCCCGTCCGCCCCGTCCCGTCCCGGCGGAGATCACCGCGGCGCCGGGCCCCTGCCCTGGCCTCAGGTGCTAGGAAGGAGCTTCGCCGAGGTCCCTGCTCCGTCCCCAGCCTGCGGCGCCTGGATGGTGGCGAGGAGTTCCCTGTCCGGCCCCAGAGGGTTGGCTCCATCCCTCTATGGGGCTGCCCTGGCCCGGCGGCCTGCGCCCCCCTCGAGGAGGCAGGCAGGCAGGCTGAGCTGGAGACCCGGAGAAGCCGGAGGAGGGGGTCTGGCCGAGAGGGACTGCGGTGGCCGCTTCTTTGTCGGCAGCACCCTAGGAGGCAGCTCCCAGTCTCTCGGGGGCTGTACAAATTGGGGGTAACTGAGAGGCATGTGAGAGAGAGGGGCAGGCATCAGCCCAAAGCAAATGGCCCTTGAGAGGCTGGCAGCGGCCTCACAGGTACCCAGAGGCCCGTCTCTGCTGCGTCCGGTGCAGGTGTGTCCGGATGTGGGTTCCTGTGCTGGGCCCCGGGCCTCTGGTGGTCCAGGACTCAGAAGGGCCCAGCAATGGGGCAGGAAGGCAGGCCTCTGCGGGACCAAGTACCCCATCTTCTCTCCCCCCCCCCATCCTCTGGCCCTCCAAAGGTAGGACTGGGTGAGGCCGTGGTGATTGCTGTGTCATCTGGATTTTATTAATCTCTATTGATGCCATTAAAGCAGATAGATAGGGGAGATTTAAGTAATTTCAGCCTTAATGCTAAACAGCCAGAGACCCAGCATAAAAGGCAAGAGAGAAGGGGAGGCAAATGGGGCTGGAAAGTAAGTGCTGACCAAGTCACCCCAGCCCAACACACACACGAGCACACGCACACAGACTGCTTTACTCTGGGTGCAGGGACATCCTGGGCCCAGTGCCCTGCAGTCTGCGGGGACCGTTAGGGCCTGGCGCGCCCCAGGACTGGAGGCTGCGGCACTCAGAGGAAGGCTGGGTCCTGGCATACAGGCCCAGGGAAGCCCCGGCCCTAAGGCTGTGTGGGGGCTGCCAAGTGAGGGAGAGCTGGGCTGGGCAGAATCACCAGATGCTCTTTCTTTGGTTGTTCGGACTGCCTCAGCCTCTGCCTCGGCCTCAGCTAAATCCTTTCCTGGGCGCCAGCTTGGCTGTTCTGGCAGGTAAGGCTGCCTGTCCTTCTTCCTTCTGGGGGGAGGGAGGGAGGGGCTGCAGTGGCAGCACCTTGAAGCAGGGAAAGGCTGCAGGGCAAGGCCAGAGAGCGCTCCAGAGCCAGCCCCTGGGAGAAAGCATGCCGTGTGTGTGTGTGCGTGTGCGTGTGCGTGTGTGTGTGTGTGTTGGGCATAGTATTTGCTCATTGACTCTCCCGCATCCCTCTCCATCCTGAGCTTCTCCTTGGAGCTGGTCTCCTAGAGGCCCCAGGAGGCCGCTGGCAGCGCCCGCACCTCAGGGGCTGCACCTCAGACCTCAGGAGCCGAGGGCCCGGCGAAGGTGGTTGGTGAGCAGCACTCTCTCCTGCTTGGGGGGAGTCCACACGGTCTTTGGGGCAAAACGAAACCAGATGCCCCTCTTCAAAGGGAGCTCCTTATCTGCTGCTTGGTGGAATTTCAACTTTTTTTTTTTGCCTCCTGAGCCCCCAAAGAAAAGAGTGACTGTGACCAGAAATACAATTCGGAGGCCCAAGATAAGCCATAGCAGAGAGAAAGAGGGAGCCAGCGAAGGGATGGGGTCCCTGGGGGAGAGAGACCTCCTGTAGCCAGCCCACTGCCCTCAGGGTGGCCAAACCCTTCTGACAAGGCCCCTGGCGCTCCTCTGCGCCTTTCCCCGCCATGGGGGGTGGAGGAGACGCTGGGGGAAGCTGAGCGTGGAGCTCCGCATCGCGGCCCGCAGCGCTGGGCTCCTGCTCTGAGACTTTGGGCCCGGCCGGCCGGGGTCTGTCTTCCTTGGCGAAGCTTCCTGCCCCATCGCTGGGCGCCCTGTAGGGTCTCCGGAGCCAGCCCTGCTGACATCCCCTCTGGACGAATCTGCCTGGGAGCCGCCGGCTGGGCCCTGCAGACCGGCTGAGGGGGCGAAGGAGCAGTGTTGGGGGGACAAGAATTTTCCGTTCCGTTCCGTTCCGCCCGGATGCCGCGGTGGATGCTCAGCAAAAAGGAGCGGCCCCCGCATGGCTGGGGACCCCGGGCAGATCGTCTCCGAGCCTCGGGAGGGGCGGGCGCACGACTTCGGATGCGTCCTCCGGGCAGCAGGGAAAGTCTGGCCTCCCACTCGTCCCCGCTCGGGCAGGCGGCGGTACTGTAGTCTTGGTCCAGGCTGCGGGGACCAGGGAGGGAGAGAGGGGTGCGCTCCTGGCCGCTCAGCTTAACAGTAAGTGGATGCGGCCAAAACCGGTTTGGCTCAGTGGATAGACCGTGGGCCTGCGGACTGAAAGGTCCCGGGTTTGATTCCGGACAAGGGCATGTACCTTGGTTGCGGGCACATCCCCAGTGGGGGAGTGGAGGGAGGTGCAGGAGGCGGCTGATGGATGATTCTTTCTCTCATCAATGATTCTGTCTATCCCTCTCTCTTTCTGTAAAAAATCAATTACATGTGTGTGTGTGTATATATATACACACACACACACACATATATATATCTATACATATGTGTGTGTGTGTGTGTGTGTGTGTATGCAAGTGGATGCGAGTGGGTTGTTGTGGTGGAGGGGCTTTTGGCCCATGGAAGCCGGGGTTTCTTTTCCCCTGGATCCGGCGGGCAGCTGCGGGCCGGGGCCGGGGCCGGGGCCGAGGCCGAGACGCGGGGGCGGGCGGGCCTCCCTCCTGCATCCTCGTGTGGGGCCATTTGCCGTCAGGAGGCCCCCCGGCCAGCAGTGCGCACTGGGTTCACGCTCCGCTCCTTCTCTCTGTCTCCGCAGACGAATCGGCCTCCGAGACGGGCCAGCGGTTCCTGTTCGACCTGTCCGGCCTTCCCGACGCCGACGAGGTGGTGGGCGCGGAGCTGCGCGTGCTGCGCCGCGGGCCCCCGGAGGAGCCCCCGGAGGCGCCCCCGGGGCCGCCGCCGCTGCTGCAGCTGTCCACCTGCCCCGCCGCCGCGCGCGCGCCGCGCCTGCTGCTGTCCCGGGCCGCCGAGCCCGTGCGCGGGCAGCGCTGGGAGGTGTTCGACGTGGCGGCCGCCGTGGGCAGCCACCGCCGCGAGCCGCGCGCCCCCCGCGCGCTGTGCCTGCTGCTGCGCGCCTGGGCGGCGGGCCCGGCGCGGGGGCCGCTGGCGCTCGGGCGCCTGGGCTTCGGCGGCGGCGGCGCGGCGGCGGCGGAGGAGCGCGCGCTGCTGGTGGTCTCCTCCCGCGCGCACCGGAAGGAGAGCCTGTTCCGGGACATCCGCGCCCAGGCCCGCACCCTCGGGGCCGCGGGACAGTCGCCTGAGCCGGGCCCCGGCGCCCCCGGGGCGCTGAGCGCCGTCCTGGGCGGCCGCAGGCGGCGGCGGACCGCGCTGGCCGGGGCCCGGGCCGCGCAGGGCGGTGCCGGCGGCGGGGGCGGCGGCGGAGGAGGCGGCGGGGGCGCGGGCCGCGGCCACGGCCACGGGCGCCGGAGCCGGACCCGCTGCAGCCGCAAGCCGCTGCACGTGGACTTCAAGGAGCTGGGCTGGGACGACTGGATCATCGCGCCGCTGGACTACCAGGCGTACCACTGCGAGGGCGTGTGCGACTTCCCGCTGCGCTCGCACCTCGAGCCCACCAACCACGCCATCATCCAGACGCTGCTCAACTCCATGGCGCCCGACGCGGCGCCCGCCTCCTGCTGCGTGCCCGCGCGCCTCAGCCCCATCAGCATCCTCTACATCGACGCCGCCAACAACGTGGTCTACAAGCAGTACGAGGACATGGTGGTGGAGGCGTGCGGCTGCAGGTAGCGGGCGGGCCGGGGCGGGGAGGGGGCAGCCGCGCCGCCGCCGAGGACCAGCTGAGGGCTGCGCCTGGCGCCCAGGGAGGTGGGCCGGTCGGTCGCCCGGCCGGTCGGACTCTGGCCCCGCGCGCGCCCGCCCGCACGGAGGAGAGAACGCGCGGGTTCACACTCACGCCCACAGCTCGTTTACGCACCACCCAGCTGACCGTGACTGCACCTGCAGGCCCTGGGCGGATGGCCGAGCGCTGGGGATGGCACAGCCACGCGCTCTCGGCGGCAAACGGGTCACCGAGGCACCCAGCGCCTCCTCTGGGGAGAGGGGTGTGTGTGTTCACGCTCAGATAACAGACACGACGCCAGGTAGGAACAGGCTAGGGAACTGCCGGCTCCAGAATGGGTGAGCTGAAGGGGTACCTGCTTCACTGTGATCTCACCCCTCTTTGTTTCTGGCTGGGTGGCTGAGTACTGGGTGTTGGGCCCGGGCCCGGCAGGCAGGGTCGTTTCTGAAGGTTTGGGGCACACCGCTGTGGCCAGCCATGCAGGGAAGGAGCGGCTGCAAAGGCCTTGTTGCTTTTCTTTGACTTTTAAGGTGGAAGGTGTCCCCGCTCCGTTTTTGACAGGGAGCGTTTGTCAGAGCGCACGGATCTTCCTAGATCTCTGCCGAGGCCAGCGCCCACCCCCACCCCCTCTCTCTCTTTAAAAACTAGTTCCTGTTGCCAGTGATCTAGAAAGCGGAAAATATATTCTTCTTTGGGAGGGGGAGTGACTTAGGGGAGAGGTTTTCAACCGCAAGTCTGATCTGACATGAAAGGGTGAAGTGGCTCTGCTGCTCCTGAGCCAGGCAGCCAGGGGTGGCGGCCGTGGCTGGGGGGGTGGGGGTGGGGAGTGCAGGTCTCAGCGGGAGGCTAGTGCGGTGTCAGGATGGGGGCGGGAGGAAGCCATGGCTTTCTCTCTCTGCCGGGAGGTTGGTTTTCCTAGGGATCTACGGGGAGGCGCCAGGGCTTGGGAGAGGCAGGGCTGCCTGGCTGGCTTCTGCAGAGGACTGGGGGAGGGGGAGGGGTGGGGGGGGGCAGGCGCTTCCTCAGAGTGGGCGACATGTGCCTGTGCTTAGCTATCAGGTCTGTGTCTCACTCGCTGCCACTGGGCTGTTGCTGTCGTTTTGGGCAGCGTGATCCTAACGGGAAGTGAAGCCACACCAGAGTGCTTTTGTGAGCATCCAGCTCCCCGGAACCCGGGGGTTCAGAGCGGGAGGAAGGGCCACGCAGGCCTGGCTCTGTCCTGGGGCGTTTGCAGGCGGCTGCTCTGGCTTCTCCGGGAGGGTCCGGCCTGGGCAGGGGGAGCAGAGAGGGAAGTCTATCCCCCAGACCCTGGTTTTGCCATGAAGCGTTTTGCAGATGGTAGAATGCCTGTCCACGGAAAAGGGCGGCTCAAACGCGGCAGCCTGCGTAGGTTCAGTCCCGCCCGCGAGTCCTTTGCGGCCTGTGTAAGTGGTTGGCGGAGGGGAGAGATGTAAGTCGGGGTCCACCTGTCTGGGGCTCGGAGGGCTCCCGTGAAACTCCTCCTGTGTAAGGCGGTGCTGGGTGTTCGTGGTCAGGGTCCCTGAGAGGATGCATCCCACCCTGCTTGTCTGGGGTGCCGAGGCCCAGGAACAATACACATTTTTCTTCTTAGTGATTACATTCTTATGGGGGGAGGAGGGGGGAGAGAGGGAGAGAGGGAGAGAGATATGAAAGATTTAGATACAGCTAATTTATTTAAGGGACCCAGCCGAGCCTTTTTTTATCCTGTAAAATTCCCCCAAAGGAAAAGAAGACACATTTATAATGTGAGTTTATATGCTGTGGCCATGTGGGCAGCTATAAGTAACCAGGAAACGCAACAGTTTCTTCAGGTTAAAATCCCCCCTCCCCCCAAGTGGCTGATCCACCTCACATCCTTCCCGCTTCAGTGGCTGGGCCTAGAGGGCCCGGTTATGTTTGTGGGTTTTGCCAGAGAAGCTCCTCCTTTTGAAACTCTGATTTCAATAATGACGGCCTGGCGATTGCTCCAATAACAGTCATATGAATTGTTATGTTAGAGGTTTTAGAAAGGGAGTAAGGGAGTGAGAGGAAAACTACAGCTAAATATTACCCTGAAGAAATTCTAGGGTACTTACTCTCTTTGGACAAAAGCAAACATTATTTTTTTAGGGACTAGAATAAATCGGGGAGAAGAGATTAGGACTTGCCCTGAGTTTTCTGTGGCAGGTAAACTCCTCCATCTCCTTCTGACCATCTCCTTCCTGTACCGTGAGCCCAGGCTGCACCGGGAGGGTGGGGGAGGGGTGGGGAGGTGGTGTCCCTGGCCAGTGACAGGGTGTCCCCGGCCTTCAGGGTGCTCTCTGCTTGCCTTGTGGGTTCCCCTGGAGCTGTATGGCACCACAGGGACACCCCCCCCACACCCCCGGGTCCTGCCATAGCTCTGCTCAGCCCCCAACGTCTCCCAGTTAAACGTAGGGGAATGGAGAGGATGGGCGTGCTTCGCTATGGAAATGGCAGCAGAAGGGTTTGGGCTGCTGAGACCGGGTTAGACCGGCTTTGACAAGGTGTGGGGAAACGGTTCTGCCAGCACAGTGGTTAGGGTCCTGGATGGCCTGCCTGCCTGTCCTCTAGGCAGGGGGGAGTGGGGCCCGGTCACCCAGCTGGGGGTGACACGCCTCACCAGTGGGCGAGCTGGCAGCTGGCGAGCAGAGCAGTGTGTCAGGACTGTGAGTAGAGGCAGCCCCCTCTCCCCAGCCCCCCTCCGGCAGCAAATGGAATTTCTCATATTGTTGGGGAGACCTGTGCACCCCTGCTGAGACCATCTGAACCCCTCTTCCTGCTAGAGAGGAGGCTGGGCACCCCAGGGTGGCCCGAGCGGCTGGTGCACCTGCCAAGCACCCGCACGGGCTGGTCACTGCCACTAGGCACCAGGCTCCTCGGGAAGGGAGACCCTACCCTGGCAGGCGGCCATGCCCACTGGTGCCCCAACGCTTTCCTGGCTGAACGCTGGCTTTCCAGGCAGCTGGGCTGGGGCTGCGAGAGTGTGGCCGGCTGTGTCCCCTTGGCTTGGGGATGCCTCCCATGTGCATATGCCGGCCTTCACATCACCGTCCTGGCATTTTCTTGCTCATGAGGTGTGATTGTGTGGCAGGGGAGCCCACGCCCGCCAAACCAGCACAATGTCTTCTAGAATGACAGTCTTGGGGTGTTGGCAGGAATGGGAACCTTGCTCAGGGCCGGAGAGAGTCTGACCGCCCTGTGGGTGTCGTCGGAGGATTCAAATCCTACAAACCCTGGATCCTGTTCGCAGTTTGATCAACTCATGGCAGAAAATAGCTGGGGCTGTAGCCGGATTTTCTCCTTAGAGCTGGGAGACCTCTAAGCAGCTTGTGCACAGAAAAGGCAGACTCTTCCCCTGCTTGAATCTGGTGTCCAGGAAACCCCGTCAGGGGGACAGCACCACAGCCGTCTCTGGCCACCAAAGTCACGGGGGGAGCGGGTGCCAGCTGGGTGCAGGGTCCTCTCAGTGGCTGCAGGCCTGGCGGGTGGACGGACGGAGCTCTGGAAAGCAGCAGGGTGTCCGGGGAGGGCGGGGCCGGAGTGTCCTCTCAGGAAGGGTCAGGACGGGGAGGGAAGGAGGCAGCGGACATGTGGACCCAGCAGTCAGAAAAGGTTGGGAGTGAGCTCGTGAGCGAGAGGCGACTGGCTCCCTCCGAGGTGTCTGAGTGGCCCACAGTCTGGCCCGCTGTGGACTTCATGTGCCCCGGGGTGACCTGCCCCGCAGCCACCTGCCCAATCTGGGCTCTACAAGGCGCCTCCTGAGAGGTCTGGACAAGCCGGGGACAGTCTCCTCCCTCCACCGAGCTCAGTGCCATGGTTCTCGGGAAAGGTCCCCTGCTGACCCCAGCCCCAGAGCCGCCTCTCACAGCATCACAGCTCTTGCCTGTGTGTTCACAGAACTCTCAGCCTCTGCTGGCGCTTCATGGGTACCGGGCTGATTTCTACCCGGGGCAAGGCCGGCCAGGACCTTGTGGGCGGGGGCTCAGCTCACCTAAGCCTGGACCTTCCCTGCGTCCCTGCTGAGGGGCACTGCCAGCCCAGCCCAAGTTTCCCCATGCCCATGGAGCGATGGACAGAGCCACCCTCGGGCTGGGATTGTCCGGTGGCCACGTCCTGGGAAGGCTCCCCCTGCTGCTGGTGCCTCCCCGGGCAGCGGAGGAAAGAAGGGGCCGTGCCTTGTTGGCAGCCCAGACGGGGACCTGGTCTGTGCCAGAGCCCCTGGGCCAGACAGGCCAGCCTGTGGAAGGGTGGACGGCTCCCCCAGGTCCCCAGCCCATGGCCATGTCTGGTCCAGCTTGCCGGGGCGTGAACCAGGGGCAGTTAGCAGATGGCTCCTCCTTCACTCCTGCCTGATGGCCTGGAGATGGGGCAGAGTTTATCGTGAAGAAACCCTAGAAGGGGGAGTGAGAAGATGCTGTTTCTAGGTTCTCAGGCAGCCAGGCCTGCTGGCCAGTGAGGCTGGAGCAGGCTCCCCCAGCCATGCCTGGAGCGGCTCTGGGTGAGAGAAGCCCGTTCTTCCCAGCAGGCCGTTCTTCCCGTCCGCAGTCACCTGCGTGGATGGGGCTGCAGGAGAGGGGCGGAGGTTGGCCCCCATCATCTGTGGGGGTGAGTGAAGGCCTGGCGTGTGCCCTGTGGGCTTCATGCATTCAGGGGTGCTTCCTGCTCATGTTCATACACCAGCTTCACCAGCATTGCGGGCGCGGGCCTGGGCTCTCCTGGCCAGGAAAGTTCCGGAGGAAAAGTTCCCGTTGGGGCTTCGTGGCAGCAGCAGTAGTTACAGCAGAGCCACCGGGACGGGGCAGGTGCAGGGCGTGAGGTCACTGAGAATTAGTTTGCATTTCAGGTCGGGCCTATACTGACAAGTGCATGGTCCGTGGGCGATGGTTGGCTTCCTCCTGCCACACTCACCTCCCGGAGCGGTCCTGAGGCCCTCCCTGTGTCTGCGCTGGCAGGAGAAAGGGCTGCCTTTTCCTACATCCACGCCCCACCCCCAATAGCAGGAGAGCCACGGAGGCCAGGCCGCTCCCCGCCAGGAGTGTCTGCAGGCCGGGGACAGTGTCCCAGGATGGCCCAGGCCCAGCACGCTGATGTCGCAAGCGCAGTTTGCACTCTTACTTTTTGCCTGACCCGTTCCCTTCTGCAGAAACTTCTCATCCTTTTTCCTAACGGGCTATGAAAAACGTTGTCTGGAAAAGCGAGGAAAAGCTCCCGACAGTGGAATCCCAGCTGCCTTTAAGCCTGACGGTGCGGACCTTCCGGGAGGTGGCATTTCTGTGCCCATCCACCTTTTGGGCGCTGGCACGCAGGAGTGGGCGAGGCAGGGGCTGGGGGTCTGGCCGGGCTGGAGGTGGGCCGGGAGCTGTCTTCTCCGCAGAATCACCTGCGCTGTTCTCCTGACCTGCAGTGGCAACTCCCAGGTAGCTGCTCCATCACGAAGCAGGGGGAGGTGCCTGTTCTGAGCCGAGGCACTGCTCACACACCTGCCTGCCAGAACCGGGGGCCCCTGCAGAACCTCCCAGGGCTGAGGCTCCCCGTGAGGCTTCCTCAGAGGAGGCCTGCGATGAGAGGGAAACACGCCGATCCGAGTGCACGGCTGCTCGTTCCTCGAGGACGCTCCGGGGCTACCAGCTGGGAAGGGCGGCGTCCAGGCCAGCGAGCCGGTGGTTTGGGGAAACAGCACACAGTTTGTCCCTGTTGTCTGTCCTGTCCTACCAGGGAGCCTGGCTTTGCTCGGACCTCACACGTGCGGGCAGGCCTCACCCGCAGCCGCCAGCGGGGAGAGCGAGCCTGAAAAGCAGGGACACGTTATATGGAGGGCTTTCCTTGTCTGCAGACTGGTCACCCGTGTCCGTGTCTGTGTGTCCCCCGTGGCTCGGGGCGGCCGCTTGGCTTGAGGAGGGGGTGCACCCACGAGCAGGGCTTATTTCTTAGCAACTTATTAATATATTTGTG